TTGTGGAGGTCAGATAATAACTTTGGGGAGTCAGTTCTCTCCTACCCTGTAGGTCCTGGGGAATGAACTCAGGTCATCAGTCTTGGACGCAAGTGCCTTTTCCCACTGAGTTTTTTCATTGGCCATGTTTTTTTCTGTTCTGGAGGTACTGTTCCATCTGATGGTTCATAGGTCATGAACCTGCAGAAAGCATCACCTTGGATATGACAGTCCAAAGTCCACTGCTCTGGTGGGAACTGTACTCATCAGCCATCATTGGGATCAAAAAGATATTTACTTAATTAAAAAAATATTATTGTTATTATTAGTTATTGTTTGGGATAGGTTCCCACTATGTAGACCAGGCTTGACTTGAATTTGCAAAGATCTACCCCTGCCTTCTGAGAATTGGCATTACAAGTAATCATCACAGACCCAGGATGAAGGAAAAAGGGAAAAAGAAAAGAGACTATTTGAGAATATTCCTGTGCCCAGAGGAAGTTCTGCTTATGGGTCTAAGCTGTTCACTCATGGAGGCTTGACTGTAAGGTCTCTCAGCCTCAGTCATGACTGGAGCTCCCCAACTGGAGCACCCCTGTGGGAGTCATGATCAAAGGGGAAGGAGAGCTCAGACTCTAGTTCATAGTTTTAAAGTCATGAGGCTTTTCCTAAGCAAACTTCTTTCTCTCCTGGCTTTCAAAAGAATTTTCTGTCATTTGGTGTTAGGAATCCTCACCAGTAAGGCATCAACAAATCACCCTTGAGGAGATCTTACCACACAACACACCTGGTCACCTGCAGTAGTACTCTGTACCACCCTGACAACATGGCTGTCTTATCTTGTCCTGCAGGCTGCCATCTCCCAGGATACCCTGACTCGATTCAAACATAAGAAGGTACCATCCCTGTACCACAATGGCTGGGCAAAGACCTCTGGGCTGGGGCTGGATTTCCCCTCAGGGAAGTTACAGCTGCTGTAGGCTGTCAGGGCAGTTCTGGCTCAGGCTGTTTCAGCTCTTTCTGGTAGGCACAGGTCTTTGATAAGGCTCATCTTCTCTGTCCACTTGTACAAGTGTCCTGTCTGCTCAAATTCTGGGAGAGAAAAAAAGTCCCTTTCCAGAGGGATATTTGGGAGATTCTAATCTGAGATGCTTCATGGAAATTTTTTTTCTTCCCATATCACTGCCTCTACTTTAGGTGTTGATTCTGGATTTTTCTCTTACCCCAATTTTCTTGAGTTTGGAACTAGCCATTTTCTTTTCTTGTAATTTTAAAAAGAGAACATTCCACATACGTGTGGAGTCAGAGGAGCTTGCTGGTATTAGTTTTCTCTTTCCACCAGGTGGGTTCCAGGGCCTGAGTCTGGCATCAGGCTTGGCCGGAAGTGCATGTATGTGCTAAGCTTCCCAGTCCTCTCTGTCTCTGCCGACCTCTCCTCCCTGTGCTGAGGCTGAACCCCGGGAGCCTTGTCTGTGGTAAGCATGTGCTCCACCATTCCAGACTCCCCAGATCTGACTTTGGAACTATTGATCTAAAATTAAAGGCAAGAAATTAATCAATGATAATGATAAAGTATTGCAATTAAAGATTTTTTCCTGTCCAAATGCTTTTCTTCAACGCAAAATAAAACATCTGTGTGTGTTTCTGTTTAGATATAAGTCTAAATATTTTAAAGAACATTTTACTTTAAAGCTTGCCATTAACGTGACAAAGAACTTTCTCCCCTTTGTGCTCACATGACGCTACGGAATGCTGAAGGAGACACAGTGTTTTAGAAAACGGAAAGCGCTAAACCATATGGTGAAATTCTTGGCAGGAAAAAGCAAGAGGAAACTCTGTAGATTTTTTTCTCTTCTCCTCACCACTCTTTTTTTTTTTTGGTGATGAGAATTGAACCCAGGGCCCCATGCCCTCTAAGCAAGCCATCTACCAATTGGCTCCTCCCAAATGTTTTTCCTTGGAAAGCAAAGAAAATGAGAACCTACCTAAATTTTAATGCTAGTTTCAGAGTTCTAGGACAAGTCAGAAGAGTCATTTTTAAAGAAAAGGAAAGATGTTTCATTTTTGACAATAGGGCTCTTCCGTCAGCATGCATATTCCGGGAAGCCACTTGGAGAAGCTCTAAGAAGCTGCCCTGAATGCATTCCACAGACGGAGACTAGTTAAGTTTGGCAATTAACTCAACAGTTGAGCCTGCGATCTTTCGTCGCCCAGCAAGAGATTGTAATCTGACACACATTCCACTGAGCATGCTCATAAGAGCCTCACATTCTAGATGCGCTGAGATGCATGCATTGAACACACGCCCCCACCCCCAACGGGCCCCCCCCCCGACCCGGGGTTGGACACGGCTACAACACAGCATGCTTTTCTGAGCCTGCAAGCTTTTACAGTTCTCAGCCAATAAGACGCTCAAGCAGCAGTGGGAGCCTGACCTCTATCGCCTTACACCTACCTCTATGAGAACTTCCTGTGACCCCAGGGGCTCTGGGAAGGAGGCAACAGCTGCCAGATATGCTTTGGATGGACATCCATTCTGCCTGTCCCCCACTTTCCTCACATTTTCATCTCTCTCTGAATATAACTCTGTTGGAGGAGCTGAGAAAGGGTGTGCCATCCACTCACAACCTCTGGTAGAATAATGTTTTATCTTTTTGTTGTAAGTGGACTAGTGTGCTTAAGTCACACGGGTGACGTGAAGAGCAGCTTTCTAGTTCCTTCACAATGCTACAATGGCTTAAAGTGACTGACTCTCATCTGTTTATTGGGCATAGGTAAACTGAAACTCCAAGCCCAAACTACCATTGTCTTCTGTATAAATTATTATTTTTTAATGTGTGTCTGTGCATGTGGTGTATGTATGTTTTAGTGTGCACACCTTTTGTCTGTGTGTGTGTGTGTGTGTCTGTGTGTGTGTAAGAGACCAGAACGTGATGTTGGTGTCTTCCTCTGTTGCCCGTGCCTTACAGCTTTGAGTCAGAGTCTCTCGCTGAAGGGTGAGCTCACAGTTCTGGTGAGACCACTGAGTGAGCATTCCGACCTGCTCCCCTAGCTCCTAACCCCCAGCACTGGGGCTACAGGCCTGTGTATCTGTGTCCAGCTTTTTATGTAGGTGCTGGGGGTTCAGATTCAGGTCTCCATGGTTACCGAGCAAGCACTCTCATCCCCTGAGCTATTGTCTAGCTCTGATTCTTGTGCTTCGACGGGCATGAAAAAGATTGGAGAGGCTTTCTATAAAATTCTCCTTTGATGTGACTATGCAGGGGCCTGGAACATGGGCTCTCTGTTGGGCTTTGGCATGATTAATTTTTACTCCTCTCTCTCTCTCTCTCTCTCTCTCTCTCTCTCTCTCTCTCTCTCTTTCTCTCTCTCTTTCTCTCTCTCTCTCTCTACTTTGGAGCACATTACCTGAACCCTTTTCCTGTTCATTTGTTTTTATTGTGTAAGTGTGTGTGTGTGAGTGTGTCTGTATGTGTGCGTGTATATCTGTGTATGTGTACACATGTGTGCATATGTTGAGTGCGTCTGTGTGCCCTTGTGTGTGTGTGTGTCCATCTGTGTAGGACCCTGCACATAACAGCATTCTTTATGCTGTCAGTGTTAGAACACTGCCTTGCCATCTTTGGAATTTGGTTTGTAGTCAGTGGTGGCACTAAACCCACAAAGGGGACTGGGCCTTCCACCTTTATCTCTTGGTCTCAGGAATGAGTTCCTAAGTTCCCTTGAGGCTCTTAACTTTCAGGCTCTGTCCCTTCTGTTCCCTGGCTCAAGCCTGCCTCTTCTCTTCAAACCTCTCCCTGGCTCCATGCATTCCCTCTTTGTCCCTGCAAGCTGTAAAACTCACCTGAAACCCACCACTCCCTCCAAAGAGCCTCCTCTGAAAGGATGAAGACAGCTTCTGGGCATGACTGGCACACTCTCAACGAACAGGAAACACCCCAAAACAAGCACGAGACCCACAAAAGGAGGTGCCACATATTTGAACTAGAAAGACCCTAAGAGGGGGAGAACATCAATTTTTGAAATACCAATTAATCACCATCACTTCAGGTAATGAGGGATGTTTTGTTATTGCTGGTTTTCAGGGTCTGACAGGCCTATCACACTTGGGCTGAACAAGAACTTGCTATGTAGCCCAGGCTTGCCCCAAACTGATGAATCTCCTACCTCAGCCTTTTGAGTGCTGGGGTTACAGGAGGGTGAGGAGATATTTGTACTAGGCATTCCTAGGCATTCCTCAGCAAAATGTGCTGCGGCGTCATTGATTTTTGTATTTTCTTTGTTTTACCTATCTATTGTTTTGTTTTGTTTTGGTGCCGGAGAAGGGGGCTCAGGGCCTTACATAACAGAAGGAAATCAGTACTCACTAACTAGACAACACAAAGTTGGCCCCTACAACATCTTTTTTGGAGACAAAGTCTCATGCAGACTAAGCCGTTTTAAAATTTTCTATGGATTCTCTTTGTCTTCACTTCCCACACTAGGATTACAGGCATGCACCACCATGCCTTCCCTATAGCATGTTGTGGTAGACAGAGCACCCAAGAACTTGCTATTTGATTGACAAGTCTTACTAGCCCGGGACCGTAAATGATTCTGCATGCCCACATGCTTCTCAGGGAAACAGGCTCACCATGTGGGCACAAAGGAACAAGGCTCTGCTGAGAAGGCCTTGCTGAAAGTGTTAGGGCCACAGGCTCCCCACAGGCCTTCCTATCCACACGGGCTCTGGAGCCAGTGGCTCTTCAGGAGCTCGGGATCTGCCGCAGTCACACAAGGAAATACAGACAGACATGTGCTCCCGGGACGCTGTCCTCGCAGGACTGCTGGGGTCATGGTGGAGGCTGGAAGACTTGTGGTATCACATGACCAGAACAAGGAGAAACACAGACAAAATGGCGGCAGCTGGCAACCGGAACATGGCGTCAAACACCAGCCACAGAAGCTTGCTAGCTATGGGCCACGCTGTGCGGCCTTGAAGCAAAACAGTATCGATTTTGTGGTTGTAAAACAAAACGTACCTTCAACGGCAGAACTCAGTTTTATGACACCTTGAATAAAAACAGAAGATGGAAGTTATATAATGGACCCTGGTTACCTTTTTTTTTCCCCCAAGTTTTCACATAACACACGTACATTTCAGGTCTGGATATTTTTTGTTGTTGCTGGCATTTTGAGAAATTAAACAATTTCAAAAATGAAAGACAGCAGCTATCAGCACTTCTGTTTTTTGTTTTGTTTTTGTTTGTTTGTTTGTTTGTTTTTCTTTTCCCACTCGTCCTGGGGGTCATTTTATACAGGTTAGGGCAGAGTTTGTATTGAAATATATAATAGATGGTTGAAAACCTAGGCGTACCCCTTAGCATCCTCCTCTGAGCTGGCTGGGTAAGAAGCCATTTGCTTAGTCTTCAGGTTTAACGTTTGTCTTTGCAGATGGGCAATGTGTAGGCTACCTGGGTATGTCAAGTCATGGAGAAAATAGATAGTACCCATGACTGAACCGTTGTTCGTTCTCCCCTAAATATAGAGACAGAAATGGTAAGATAGAATAAATTAGACCTGGTCCAGCAGTTTGATTTAAAATGTGTGGTTTTTTTGTTTGTTTGTTTTGGTAAGCTCTAATTTCTAACATCTCCGCATGTATGACATATGTGTGTGCTAGTTCATGTATGTGGATACAGGTTTGCCTTTTTGGTCAGGAGAGAACTGCATGTATTGGTCTCCTTCTACCTAAGCTCTAGATGGCATCTTGTTTCGTGCTGTTTTTGCCAGGCCAGTTGGTTTGAGCCTTCTGGGATGTTCTTGACTCTCTGCCTCTCTTCTTGCTTGGGGCCTTGGGATTACTTTGCATGCTACAGATTAAGCTTTCTGTGGGTTCTAGGAATTTGATGTCAGGTCTGCAGGAAGTGCATTTGCCCACCAGGGCACCACAGCAACCCATACTGGCTAATTCTGTGCCACAACTGTGATCTGGTGGTCCTGGGTGCCACAGTGTCTATAGCACTTTGTGGTTGAAGATGCACTTGCTTCTCTTGGAAGATTTCTAATTTAAATGGAAGCAAAAGTCTTTTCCCTACTACCAAACCTCAGCTGGTATCGGCCAGCTCATACACTGCTTTCAAGGTATGCCTGTATGTATATGTACGTCATTGCTATGGTCGTTGACATGAATTGTGTGTAGCATATGATCTACAAACTGTAAAGAAGGCACATTGGTCCTTAGGCAACATCCCTATAGCAACCGGTCTTTTAAATGAATGATGTCTTAGCTTTGCAGTCAGCAATTCAAACCAAACTGGCCACCCCCTTCCTAATCATACATTGATTTACACACCAACCTCTGATTTACACACCAACCTTTCACCAACAAATTACTGTCATTACATCATTTATAATCTTAACCCATTTCTCATATATACATTGTTTTTAAAGCCTTGTTCAGTTTTAATAACTGTAAACACCTGGAACATGAGGAGCCCCACTGGATGAGGGGCTAGGCAGAGGCACACGGTAGCCACAGCACACAGCTGTAAACAGCTCCAGGAATAGGAGGTAACGAGTTATGGTGAGGAATTTTAGGATTTCAGTAATCTGTGACCATTGTTCCAGCAATGCTGGGCATTGAGTAAAACACACTGTCAAGCCACTGAGACGCATAAGTAAGTAGTCAAGGGCTTGAGAGGAATTAGTGAGTCCCTAGATCCAATCCTTGGTATCACTCAAACATAGTGTATTGTCTGCCTCTGAACTATCTCACCAGCCCATCTTTCTTTTTTTAAAGATTTATTTATCTTATGTGTATGAGTGCTCTATTTGCATGTATGCCTGTATGACATCGGAGGACATCATATCCCATTATAGATGGTTCCGAGTCACCACGTGGTTGCTGGGAGTTGAACTCAGGACCACTGTGAGAGCAACCAGTGTTCTTAACTGCTGAGCCATCTCTCTGGCCCGCCTTACATTTGTTTTTAATGTAACTTATTTAATCGTGAATTTATGTAATTTAAATGGTAACAGAGGGCTCACAGCTTCCTGGAAAGGCAGGAAATGGAGAGCTGACTTCTGCAAGCTTCGAGGAGCCAGGCTTTGGGTACCACTGTCATAACTGACTGTCCCGTCACTCAGGTTCAGAGATTAAAAGCTTGTTTATGCTCAATGATGTAGCTTCAGTGTAACCAAACAAGCCAGATGTGAACAACTGAGCACTCGGGATGGCCTGTCAGCATCTCAAGGGCCTCTCAAGACTATCAGATGCAGGAAACACCTTTACACCCATTACATGGAAGCAACATACACTGACATCCAGTAACAGCAGAAACTAAGTGGGTTTGCCCCTTTTGTGGTCAGATAGTTAAACCACGAGGTGAGGTCGGGTGTGAGTGTTCGTTATTCATTAGTGATCTTCAGTAGGAATTTTTACATAGGTTAAAAATTAGCTCCCCCTCACTCATACCCATTACAAATTCTAAAATTATCATTTTTGTATGATACACGATGCGTGAGTGTGAGCGTGCGTGTCAGAGTATGTGCACACGGCAGAGGACAGCTTTGTGAATTCTGCTCTCTTCTCCCTTAAGGCAGATTCCTGGAATCAAACTCAGGTCACCAGGACGGTACTGTTTCTTTACCCACTGAGTCATCTTGCACACTCCTCAGCCATATTCCTTTCTGTATGTAACTATGGTATCAGCAAACGTCACTCATTAAAGCAATGTACATTAATCGTGTGCAGAGACTGTCTCTGGAAGAACACCTAGACAAATCCTAGTTCTGGAGTGGCCTTGGAGGGGAGCCCAATACTGTGCTTACTGAGTGAAAGAAAAAACTTTAATTTAAGAAACAAACAGTCATCTGATTCTAGAACTTTCATTACGAACATTATTTTCATGGAAGCGTTAACGAGAGTCATTTACCTTCAAATGGATGTTTCTTAGTTTTGAAACAAGAAATTAGATTTTTTTCCTCTATGTTAATGTAGATCTTTCTATTGTAAAGTAACCATATTATAGTGAAAAATCTAAGCTCATTTAAAGCTAGATCTATGGCTAATATTAACACATATATGTGTACTGGCTGGTTTTGTGTGCCAACTTGATACAAGCTGGAGTTATCACAGAGAAAGGAGCCTCCCTTGAGGAAATGCCTCCATGTGATCTAGCTGTAAGGCATTTCTCAATTAGTGATCAAGAGTGGGAGGGCCCATTGTGGGTGGTGTCATTCCTGGGCTGGTAGTCCTGGGTTCTATAAGAAGGCAAGCTGAGCAAGCCAGGGGAAGCAAGCCAGTAAGCAGCATTCCTCCATGGCCTCTGCATCCACTCCTGCCTCCAAGTTCCTGCCCTGTGTGAGTTCTTGTCCTGACTTCCTTGGGTGATGAACAGCAATGTGGAAGTGTAAGCTGAATAAACCCTTTCCTCCCCAACTTGCTTCTTGGTCATGACATTTTGTGCAGGAATACAAACCCTGACTAAGACAATATGTTTATAGAACAACAGAAAAGGTCTCTTAAAATATGCATATTCTAAAAGTCTTGGAACACTTAAGTGACTGGCGTTGATGTTTTAAAGCACACAGTGTGGATGACCTGCAGGATACAAGCTTGACATGACTTGGTGAGCAGTCAACACTGACGCTGCCTGGAATTCACATAAGCCACAGCATGGACATGTATGCAGATACACAGAATGGATCCCGCCACTCCCCACCAAGTTCTTCACAGGTTATGGGAGGTTTTGAAAACTAAAAACAAAAACAAGATGAAAAGAAGAGAAACCCTACTTCTTCCCTGAACTGGGCATCTCACAAGAAAAGCTTCTAACCAGATGGTGCAGCCCACCTTATCACCGTCCTGAGGGTGGGAGCCATCGGCCAGCCATACCTGATTCTTTCCTCAGTCGATCTATTCCAAAAGCATCTGCTCCCTCCTGTATGCCTTTCCTAGGTTGTGTTTGCTCGAGTGCAGTACTAGCGGTGGAACTATTTCGATGTCATGCGTATGAGGCAACGTTCTCCCAGAGGGCTAGGGCCTCGGCTCTCTTTCTACTTTGGTTGTTGAGACAGTTTTATAAGATGACTGGATTGGCCTTGAATTCACTCTGTAGCTCATGCAGGTCTACACTCCAGCCTCAGTTTCTAGGACAGTTAGAGGACAGGCCTACACAGCCAGACCCATCCTCCTTTACTACGTCACTGATTCATGGACTGATCCTGTCCCCAACCTCTCTGCCCACTTTCTGGTGCTGAAGAATAAGCCCAGGAGCTTCCATATACTAAGTTCATGCTCTACCATTGACCTGCAACTTGACCGTCATCCGCAGTGATCAATTTCAATTATTCTAAAAGAACTCACAGGAGAAAGGATCAGGTTAAATCGTGCTGAAGTGTGAATGACTAGAGCTCACTAGGATCCTGCAAGAGCATATCACTGCTGGTGAAATACAGAGCCAGTTTTCAGTCTTAGCATTAAGGTTCTGACACATCCCTAACCTTTCTGTACATATAATTATTCACAATCCTCTCTACGCTAGCCAATGCTTGCTCCTTTCTTTCCCGAGCTAGCCTAATTGCTGTTCCACCTGAGCTGTGGAATCTTCCTGTACCATTTTCTCTTCATTAAGAGTCTACTCCGAGGCCCCTTCCTTGGAGTCCTCCCGGTGACTTCGTTCAGAGAACCCACGAACCACCCTCTGAGTCGAGTTCTCTATCTTAAATGTTCTCATGTGGTCCTTGGTTCACCTGTCTTCTTTATCAGGGCCCAGCACAGTGAGATCTGTGTGTCTTGCTTGTTTCTAGAACCTCTTGCCCAGTAGAATTCCTCCCATAAAATGAACACCCAGTAAATACCTTTAAAAAAATATTTTTGAGATAGAAACTCATGTAGCCCAGCCTGGTCATGAACTCAACATGGTAGCTGAAGATGCCCTCTAACTTGTAACTTCAGCTGGTAGCTGAAGATGCCCTCTAACTTGTAATCCTCCTGCCTCTGTTTCCTAAGATCTGGGATTACGAGCATGTACCACTGACTGTGTCTGCCTAGTAAATACTTACTGAA